CTTGCCTTGCAGGCCTCCCTCTTCCTCCTGTGAAATGGGCACGAATGCGTGGACAGCGCTCATCGCAGGGTCTGACTCAGAAATCTCACTCCCCGCCTCTCGTCCACGGGGACCCCCAAGCCTTTCTTTCATTGTAGTAAAATATCCAGAATATACAATTTACCATCTTAACCATTTTGAAGTGTCCAGTTCAATGGCATTAAGTACACTCACATTGTTGTGCAGCCACCCCCCCACCCATCTCCAGATCTCCTTCATCTTGTGAAACTGCAACTCTGTCCCATTGAACACTAACTCCTCCCCTCCCCCAGCCCCTGGCGCCCTCCATCTGCTTTTTGTCTCTGGATTTCCCTACACTGAGGACCTCATCTCAGTGGGATCACATGGTATGTGGTCTTTGGTGTCTGGCTTCTTTTACTCAGGATAATATTTTCAAGGTTCATCTGTGTTGTAGCGTGTGTCAGAGCTTCATTCCTCTTTATGGCTGAGTACTATTCCACCACACGGACGGCCCACATTGTGTTCATCCTTCATCTGTCGGTGGACACTTGCATTGTTTCCGCCTTTTGGCGACTGTGAATCCTGCTGTGGACACCGCCCCCCCAGGCCTCATTTGGCTTCTATTGCAGCACCTCAGGGAGCCCCATTCACCCAGCTGGGCTGCCCAGCCCTGCTCCCCCCTGTCCGAGATTCCCCTGGAAGATGAGCTCTCCAGGGCATTCAGACGGAAGTCTTGACGGGATTCGCTGGGCTGCCAGGACCCCCAGATTGTGTGCACAGAGGGGACGGGTCCAGCATGCGGCCATTTCCAGGGTCCGGCAGGAGCTGTGGCGTCAGAACTGGGCCAAGCTGGGCTCGACCCCCACTCCCCCACCTATACAGCACTGGGCTCTGGGCTGGCCTTCCCCTCTCCGAGCCCCACTTTCTGCCTCTGGAAAACACAGGTGGCTCTCTGTCCCCCCCCAGGCTTGTTTGGAGGGTTGAAGGCAAGAATTTGTGGAAAGTGCCTGGGATGAAGGCACCTGCCCCAGCCCCGGAGCTCGACTCAAGTTAGCACTGGGTTAGTCACTTAACAAACATCTGTTGACACTGGCTCTGGGTGAAGGCTCAAGGCTGAGTCATTTCTGAGTCACGTGTGCTTCCCCAGGACTCGGCTGGGGGCTGAGGCATCGGGGGCATCTGCTAAATGAATAAATGATGTGGGGAAAGAGGGGAGGGAAGAGGGGGAGAGACAGAGAGAGGAGGGGGGAGAGAGAGACAGAGAGAGGGTACAGTGAGGGGAAGAGAGAGAGACAGACAGATGGAGAGACAGAGAGAATGGGGGCGTCGGGAGGGACAGAGAGATATCAGAGACAGAGACAGAGAGAGAAGGGGGAGAGAAGAGGAGAAACAGATTGAGAGAGAGAGACAGAGAGACACCGTGAGAGATGGTGGGGGAGAGCTCGTGGGGAGCCTCACCCGCTGGCCACGCCCAGCGCAGGGCGCGGAGCTCCTTTCTTCCGCTCGGTCCTGGCTGCGGCACCCTCGCTTCCAGACGACAAACCAGGCCCGCGCAGCAGAGCTGAGGGCTTCCCCGGCAACGAGTGGCTTTGCCTGAGCAGAAGTTCCCGCTGCGGGCAGTCCCGCCCCTCCCCCCCAGGGGACACTAGGTGATGTCTGGAGACATTGTGGTCGCCACAAGTGCGGGGCTGGGGTGCTCCTGGCTTCTGGCGGGTGGAGGCCGGGATGCCACTGAGCCCCCACAGCGCGCAGGCCGGCCCCGCTGCAAAGAAGGAGCCGGGCTCATGTCAGCAGTGCCGGAGGGGAGAGCCCTGTGCTCGTTATGTGGAAAACAGCTGGTTTACTTCCTCGCTCCCACTATATGGCAGAATAAGCTCCTGACGGGTTAGATGGTGTAAGCCAGGGTGATCCCCAGCGTCAGTGAGTCGCCCCCTCTCTCCCTCCCGCTGGCATATTTAGCTGTGGGCAGCATCCTAGGCCCTTAGGAGGTCAGGCAATTACAGAAGCAAAGCCTCTCAGGCGTCCACGGATGCTCCTAGCCCAGCAATTCTCCATGGGGGGATGGGGGGGATTCTGCCCCCGGGGGACACTTGGCAATGTCTGGAGACATTTTTTGTTGTCACGACTTGGGGAGGAGGGCGCTGCTGGCATCAAGTGGGCATCAGTGCTCAGGGCAGTGCCCCTGGGAGAATGAGCAGGCCCCACCGCCCACAGCACTGAGGCTGAGGAGCCCTGTCCTTGGCATACAGCTGCTGGGCGTGGGGCCAGGCCGTCCAGCCGCCCGGCACTGGTGCCTTCAAGAGCCGTCTCTGGCTTGTTGCCTGGGCCTGCCTGGGTGCTGCTGGGCCTGGGTGCCAACTCAGCTCTGCTGATGGGCAGGGCACTGAGTGGGACATGCGCCGGGACCTACCTTAGCCTCTGACGGCTCGCCCTCTCCCGCTCGACACTGCACCGCACTGTTCTGCAGGGTGCCAGGCTCTCTGACACACAAGAGACTCCTGGCAGAGAAACGGCCATGTATCCTTCCCCATCACGTGAGCCACTCTAAGGAGAGCATTTTGGCAATGCCCAAAGCCCCCCAAAACCTTCATCCCTTTCAACTCTTTTACTCACACCCTGGGGGACAGTCTGGAATCTGGCCAAGCATATATATACATGCTCAGTGCTTGCTTGCATAAGCAACTCGTGGCACATCTAAATGGAATATTATGCAGCCCTTTAAAATAATAAAAACATATCACGGAGGAAAAAAATATGGAAAAATGGTTATGACCTTGCCTGGAAAGAATAAAGAGAACACACGGACAACCACAGGTGTGTGGAAGCAATTTAACCACTGATCAGAAATCCGTCCCTCTAAACACTTGAAGGGGGATTTGAGTTGTAGAACGCAGAGTGAATTTTTTTCTTTCTTGACATTGCACGTTTTCTAAAATGGACGCCAGAACCTTGTTTATGGGACAGGCAGTGTTCAGGGTCTGTGTCTGCTCACAGGAATGGGGCCAGGGCCAGCACAGGGACTGATACATCCTTTCTCTGGGTGGCTCCTGCCACAGAAGCTCACGTCCTGGGACAGACCTCTTTGCTAATAAAAGTGATGATGATCTTTTAGGACCAGAGCAGGTTTCTCAACCTCAGCACAGTTGACATCTGGGGCCAGATCATTCTCTGTGGTGGGTATCCCCGGCCCCAACCCACCGGATGCCAGCAGCACCCCCCAGTTGTGAAACCAAAAATCTTTCCAGACCGGGTGTCCCCTGGTTGAGGACCACTCATCTAGAAGATATTCGATGCACGCTGACATCTGGGTCTCAGAAAGGGGCAGACAAATGATGAGGTATTTCTGCGTTAATCAGTGCGTGCCAGCTCCCTGTCCCGGGTCTCACGCTGAAACACACAGCTGGTTCGGAGCAGGACACTTGCTGTGCTGTCAGCAGAGGCTTCCAGGAAACAGAAACTCAACAGCTTCAGTCTCCTTACAACTGGCCTCTCACTGGACTGAGAGACTGTTGGGGGAAACCTGGGAGGTATTTTTGAGTAAGCAAGAAAAATGGCTTTACCCATTAGTTTAAACTCAACGGGAAACACTGGAGACCCGACAAAAAATTATTTAAAATCTCTTGTGAGTCTTTCTTCCGCCCCCAGTGCCTCTGAAACCAGCTCTGACCAAAGAGGGGTGTTTCCACAGGTCGAGGGGGCCACTGCTCCGCTGTGGGACAGTTTTTGCAAAAGCTGCAGAGCGAGATGGTACAGGAGGCTCTCACACACACACACACGCACACACACGCACACGCACACACACGCACACGCACACACACGCACACGCACACACACGCACACGCACACTCACTCGCCCTTCATCACCAGCGGAAGCGGACCCAGGCTATTTACTCGAGAAAGATGAATCAGATTGTCATCTCCCATTTCTGCTTTTTGTGGATTACCAAATGCTCTCAGCTGTTTCCAGGGCTGCTGGCGTCCGGGGAGGAAGGATGAAGGGCAGGAGGGAGGGCATCCCAGCCTCTGTCGCAACGGGGCGAGAGAGTTTGAAAACAGGCGCTGCTCACAAGCTGTTTTCACTTTCTGGAAACACCTTGTGCAATTGTTGGTGGCCATGGTTACCCACCCAGGGCCCTGAGAGGGGGAAGGTGAGGGGGAGCCTGCCAGGGAGAGGCACCTCCTCCCTGACCGAGACATTCGGGGTGCAGTGCAGGGTCTCCCCTTGCTCACGAGGTGGGTTTCTGGGGCGGACCCTCCAACCACCAAGGCAGGGGCTCTGATGTGCTTCCTCCACACAGGGTACCTGCAGGGAGGGTCTCAGAGCCCTCCAATGCCAGCAACAGGTGAGGTGCTGCAGACAGCCCCTCAGCCCCACTAGTGGGGTTTGGGGACCCCAGGAGGCAGAGCAGGCTAGCACCCTCACTCCATCACTCTGTAGCCACCTCTCTGGGCCTCAGTTTCTTCATCTGGAAAAGAGCACCCATCATGCATGGCCCTCAAATGTGGATTTCATTTCACTTCTCTAACAAGATGGGGAACTGACTCCTTAAAAAGATCCTGCTTTAAGGCAAGACTAGTAACAGGCAAGGCAGGTTGGAAACTCAGCATTCTGCCATTTCCAAATAATAAAAACATAAATGCCTGCACACTCCAGTTTGGCTGAAACCTCAGAAGCTTCCAGGAGGTGAGGCTTTTCTCAGCTCAGAGGAGGCCATGCCAGTGGGATCAGCACTTTCCCCAGTTCTGGGGAAAAGGAGGCAATTTACTGCTCGCGGAACACCTTAAAATAACTCTCCCTCAGTCCTAAAGTGCAGTGTTTAAATTTATAGAAAAACCCACAGGTTCCTGGCAGCTGGGCGCTGCAGCTGGAACCCTGCTGCCACGGGGGCAGGACCCGCTTCCTCCCACCTCTGCCAAGCTGCCCTCCATCAAGGCTGCTGTCCCCCCGCCCCTCCCAAGTGCCCCAAACTGTCCCCTTGCAAGCAGCCAGACCAGCCCTGTGATTTTTCAAAAGATGCAAACCTTTTTTTTTTAATTAAAAAACAGCAAAAGTCTTATAAAAATGAACCAGGCAGCAAAAACGCCCACCTGTCTCCCTATTTACAGTAATACAATATCTGTCACAGTCACTATGTACAATATTATAAAAAATGTCGCAGACAGTACAAATTAAGGCTGTATTTCTCACAAGGCATCAAGCCTCGATCCTCTAGTGTAGACCCGGTGGGGGGGAAGACGACGCTTAATTATTGCACCATTTTGAAAACAAAACTTGTCAAGGAGGATCGTGGTCTTCTCCCGCCGGGCCTTCAGTCTCTAATGGGGGCCGGGGTGGTGGCGTCATCGGGGAGCCCCCTCAGTGGCCACGCTGTGCCCGGCCCGGTCCTCTGGGCCCAATAAATACCAGTCACAGTTTGGGAGGGGCCGCGCCCGGCGCGTGGGACCCGCCACGGCCGCGCGCGGGTGGGCGGGGGGCGTCCAGGCTACATGTGCCGCTTCATGTGCAGCGCCAGGTGGTCGGAGCGCGAGAAGGCACGGTCGCACAGGTGGCACTGGAACGGCCGGTGGCCCGTGTGCTTGCGGTAGTGGCGCGTGAGTTCGTCGGAGCGCGCGAACTTCCAGCCGCAGCCGTCCCAGTTGCAGTGGTAGGGCTTCTCGCCTGCAGGGAGGGGGCGAGAGCGGACCTCAGTGTCCCTCCCAGGGACTCGGCAGCCCGCCTGTGGCCCGAGTAAGCACTGACACTCACGGGGATAGTGGCTACTCCGGCGCGCGCAATCTCCCCCTAACCAGTTCCCTGAAGCGCTCCCCACTGCGTTTTGAATCTCTAGGGATCCTAGGCACGTGTCCTCCCACTCGCGGACCTCCTGATTCTCGCCACCAGGGGTCCGAAACTCTCCCTGTCAACTCCCCAGTGTTTTGAGCCACGCCCCCAGGGGGGGTCCTAAGCTTGCATTCTCTTCCCAACGTCCTCACACACGGCGTCCCCCTAGGTTTCCTCAGCGCACACCCCCTCTCCAAAGTCCTGAGCTACACTCCCAGGAGAGTCCTAAGCGAGCGCCTCCTTCCTGCGTTCCGAGACCGAGCCCCCAGCAGGCTTCTCAGCGCGCGCCCACTCCCAGACTACGGAGCCACGCCCCCGGCGAGTCCTGAGCGCGCGCCCCCTCCCCAACCGCCCGGGCCACGCCCCCTGGGGGTTCCTAAGCGAGCGCCTCCTCCCGCCCCCCTCCCACCTGTGTGCGTGCGCAGGTGCGCCTTGAGGTGCGAGCTCTTGGTGTAGGTCTTGCCGCAGCCGGCGTAGCTGCAGGTGTGCGTGGCGGTGCGCTTGCGCGGCCAGGAGCGGCGGCCCCGCTTGGGCTTGGTGTCCAGCAGCTCCAGCGGGGACGCGGGCGGTGTGAGGAGACCTCGGGCGGCGGGCGGCGCCAAGCCCAGCGCTGCTGCTGCTGCGGCGGCCGCCGCGTCGTCGAAGAGACCGAAGGCGGCGGGCGCG